TTTTAAAAACACTAATGATATCACGTCAATATAATTATACGATATCAATATCAGATAATAATAAAATAATAAATAGACAAAATAAATTCCACTTTCTTGTATGTGAGTAGTTATATAACTTACATGCAAAGACAAAACTAAATGGTGCTTTAGGGGGCCATGATCCCCTCAAATTTTGAAAAATACATTATGCCTTTTTAGGTTTCCAAAAACTTTACTTTATATAACGTACTCAAATAAATTAAATGACCTTAACTCCACTTTATAAATTAAATGACCTTAACTCCACTTTATATCTCGCGTTAGTTTCATTTGACAAGAAAATGAGGTATGACATCGAAAAAATTACTTTTTAGATACTATAGTGAACCCCAAAATAAGTCTCAAACAAAGTTAATGAGCGAATAATTATTCAACTTGAATAATATAATCGGAGTGAGATTTCTTTTAATATATTTTTTTTCTCAAATTTTTTTCTTAATACATCACTTACTATAAAATAATAACAACAAAAATAAAATGTTGATTATTATTTAGTTGCCACACAGAGGTTACAGTCTGTGCTATTGGGGGTGCACTCGGACAGGATTAGGCGGGTTGAGAGGTCAGCTCTAGCTCAATTCTAAGTATATAATTTTCATCTCTAACCTTACCTCAACCCGAGGTACTCAACCTGAGTACTACCCAAGTTTAATTTGGGCGGGATCGAGTTGAATTTGGGTTACTTAATTTAGGCTGATTTTTGGTTAAAAATCGAGTTAGACTTGAGTTACTTAATTTGGCTAATTTTTTGAAGTGTAGATTTGATCTTCTTGCTACTATGGGTAATGACCCAATATTCACGTTTGTGATCCAAAGAACATCTGCCCTCCTTCTGTTGGTTAAGGATGCAAAGAATAGACTTGAAATCCTAGGAAGATAGCCACTGTGGGATGGATTATTGGGAAGGAAAGGGAATTAGTTTTCTTCAACAAAGAGGGAGTGAATGCATATGCTTCAGTCCTTCGTGCACAGGCCATGTGGAGGGACCAATTTAGAGCCACTATTGAGGGAGTATCAGGCAGACAACGGGATCCCACGACAAGGGAGGAGACAACTCAAGTGTTTGATGAGGAAGCTCGAATTTTTTGCGATGGCGCTTTTAGATCAGATGTGGCAAAGGCAGCATGTGGGGTGTTTTATGCAAATACAAGGATGTCCTGGATTTCGATTGTGCCAACGTATTCCCTGCAACTTCCCCTCTGTGGCTGAGGCTAAGGCAATAAGGCAGGCTTGCCTTCTCGCTGAAGCCAAACTCATCACTCATGTTACTATCCAAAGTGACTACCTCAATGTTATTAAGCTCAGCTCAAATGAAGAAGAGCCCCCATGGGATATTATAGTAGTTATTGAAGCTATTAGATTTTATGTTAGGTCTTATATTTTAAGTTTTTTACACAAGCCTAGAGTTCTTAACAAGACTGTTCATTGAGTGGTAGCCAGTATACTAACACAACTCCCTTCCGGCGAGTTGGTTAGGGTCCCCTCCTCTTGAGCTTATGGCTTTCCTTTTGTCTGATTATAATCAAAATTTTCCTACTTAATGAAATGATTATCTAGTGTTTTTCTGATCAAAAAGTGTAGATCTTTTTTTTTCTAGTGATCTAAGATGAATGGCGAGGCACAGATGAAGAGAAAGAGAGTGAGAGAGGGGCGGAGTGACGAGTGAGAGTGGGAGGTTGAAAGTCTGGGAGTGACGATTAAGAGAGAGAGAGGCTAAGAGAGGGAAGATTGACGATTGAGAGAGGGAGGCTAAGAGAGGGAAGAGTGACGATTGAGAGAGGGAGGCTAAGAGAGGGAAGAATGACGAGTGAGAGGGATCTGAGGGTGATGGAAGTACAAGAGTGAAGACTTAAAATGAAGTGAAAGTCTGGATTCTAATGAGTGAAGATAAATACTAACTCTAGTTAAATATATTTATATATTTATGTATATTCAGGTTCAGCCCGATTTTAATATTTAAGTTGAACCCCGACAACTCAAAGCCTCAACCCGAGACTTGCACAAATTCAATTCGAATTAGGTTTTTTACCCAAATTCAACCCAAGTATTTAAAATTTTAACTCAAACCCTTTTTTGGGTTAGACTCGAGTTAAATTCGGGTTGACCCGTCCAAGTTGCACCCCTATGTGCTACTGGACCAGTTCAAGCCCACAAATTCTCTTGCCATTCTCTTATCCAAATGACATAGCAAGCCAACCAGCCCTTGGGCCTTATAAGGGCTTCGAATTGTATAGTTTGTGTGGTGAGCACACATAATTTTAGGGGTCTATTCATAATTTTGAAAAATTATAATTTGTGAGTCATTTTTATAATTTTGATGATTGAAGTTATAATTTTCTCGAAGATTAATTTACAATAATTTTTTAAATTATTGGTCAATCCTATCAATTTTATATTCTATTCTAAATATTATTATTGATCATAAAAACTGTCAAAAATTAATCATCCCAAAATTTGTGCCAAAAATTGTATATGATAGTATGGTATCCAAAATTCTTTTAGTCCATAGCATTCTTTTAAGGGCAAATTATATTTTTTATTTTAAAAGATTTTAAAAAATTTAATTTATACTTTTAAAAATTAGATTTCTCATATTACACTCTCAAAAATGTTGCAGTGTAGTCTTGTTGTATATATATATATATATATATATATATATTTTGATCAGAATATAGTCATATTGCAATACGTTTAATATATTGAGAGCAACTCCAAGGGGAGTTGTCATTTTTGGGGTGTCAAATGCCACTTTACAACCTTGAACAGTGTTTTTGCACCCGTGAATTATAAATCTATTCCAATGGTAGGTGCCAAAATGGGGTGCTATTTTAATTTTTTAATATTTTTTTATTAAAAAATATAATTAAACTTAATGGTTATATTTTAACAGGTATAGGAGACATCCTCAATAATTAAACATAATGGTTAAAATTTTAAATTTTAAATTTCAAATTCAAATTTCAATAAATAATAAATTATAATCAATTTAAAGAATGAGCATAAAATAATCATTTAAAAAATAAATAAAATTACCCTTAATTAAAACTAATATATCTGTCATAAATTATAAACAATTTATAAATTATAAATTATATTACTAATTATAAATTAAAACAAGAAAAGAAGTGGCAGATGTAATTATAAATTACAAAGTCTTCCTCTTCCCCTAAATAAAATGTTTCCTACCCTTTCCCCTTCCCCATATCATCGGTTTCCCTTGCCCTACGCCATCTGAAACTTATTACAACGACAACGATTTCTCAAGAAGCAGTACACCAACGGAACACCGGCAGCAATACACCAACAGTAAGGGTTCAGGGAAGCTAGGGTTTTCAAAGGCAAGGGTTCAATGAAGTAATTTTATGGGTTTCAGACAAGCCTCCTTCTCTTTTCCTCTCTTTGTATTTTTATAAAATTTTTGGGTTGAATATAGTCATTGAAAAGAACAGTAGACCCAACGACTATTTTGCAACCTCTCAATTCTCTCTCTAAAATTGTCAAATATGTCACCCCAAAACCCTATATGTCATTTTGCCACCTCTGATGTCACCTCCATTGGAGTCTGAATTTTTGAAGTTGAGGTGTCATTTTAGCGGTTTTAGGGATGTCACCCTTGATGATAACTCCCGTTGGAGTTACTCTGAGGGTATAAACCAAACCAAACTTTATGTATTAATCATTTGATGTCAACTATATGAGTTTGTCTTCACAATTTATTTCGATAATGCTCTATACACTCATTTAATTTAAATATTTTTTTATTATTTCGTTCAACGTTAATTTAGGTCTACCATATTCTTGGTGCCATTAGAAAAAAATTTATCAATTTTTTAAACTGGTATCTCTATCGGTCTCCATTGAATATAACCAAATCATCTTAATCTATTCTCTCTCAACTTATTATTAATTGGAGCTATTCCTACACATTCTCTAATACAATCATTTCATATCTATCCTTTCTTATTTTTCCACTTTTACATTCTCATTTTTGCTACACTAATTTAATACATTGAAAGTATAATATAAAAAATATAATATTTGAAGATATAAAATAAAAATATTAAATCTTTTGGGGTCAAAGTGTGATTTCCCCTCCTCCTAAACCTTAACATCCAACTGCATTACCAAACCAAAAACCCATGGAATGACGGTGCCTTCCATCCTCCGCCGAGTCTTCGTCCGGTCACAGCCATTCACCACCACATCCGGCGGCCCAAGAACCTTAATTTCAGGCGTTTGCGAGTCGAGATCTCACTACGGTACCTCCAGCGCCGCCGCCGAAGACTATGTGACCGAAGGCCAGAATGAGAAAAAGAAAGGTGAATGGTTCACTTTACCACCTTTCACTTCCACCATCGACGGTGATGCGCTTGGAAAAGAGCTCTCTGGACGGCGTTCTACAACGAAAAGTGAAACCACCACTGGCGGTGGAACAACCTCCACGACGGCGCTCAAATGGGTACTACGATCTTGCCCGAAACTTCCGAGGTCTCTTGTACAGAAGCTCTTTCGGTTGAGACAGGTATGGTTTCAATCTCAGTGAGAGTACAAAGCATAGTTGTTGGAGATAATTTTTCGAAATTTTGATTTAAGGGCAATTGCATATAACGATCTTTAGGGCTGTTTCGAAGTAATCCTCAAACCATTTTCAATTGATAACCTCAAAACACACTGAAATTAGTTAAACGTATTTTATGGGAAGGGAAATTGTATTTTTCCATAGAAGCAGATAGAAAGATAAGTGTTGTGTATATGTATTTGTGGGTTCTGTGTATACTTAGTGTAGATTTCACACTTCTAAGTTCTAAATGCATAAACTGCATCTAAGTTTTCGTATATATATATTAGTGGGTAATTTTTGTGTTGCATTTGATCCCTGAAATAAGTAACAAGAACCACACTTACAAAAATAAATACTGGTGGATATTCTGCAATGAGCAAGAACAACTAGTGCTACGAGCTTCTGTGTTAAGTTTTATGCAATTTGAACTCAATGGCACTATGCAGCGCTTTAATCATTACGAATATTACATTCAAAAACTTGATTGTAAAGTTTGAAAGACACCTACTCCAAACACGTTTTAATATTTTTCACGAATCCCTATTTGGGGGAAAGGATAATGGTATCTTCTTCCCAACTCTGCTGCCAATTTACACCACATGCTTTTTTCACAGGTCCGAAGAGAGTCCTCAAACGTAGCAAGTTCTAATGTGGTTATTCATCTTCAAGGACGGCGACTCAAGAGGGTAAAACTTGATCACATTTTCATTTGATTGAAATGGCTGATTAGTGTGTGAAAGCATGTTTCTTTCATCATTTGGCATAGGAATACCGTAAATCTTCTTTCATCTGATGTTTGAATAATTGGAAGGTGGCAGCAAAGGACTTGATGAACCTTGGCGATCGAATATACCTTCCTAATACTGTTCAAGAGTTGCCTTCTGAGAAACCTGAGTGTATTTGCAATGAAGAAGAAATGAAGTTTCTCCAAAGCCTTGAGTTGTATAAGGTCCGGAAACTTTGGCTTCTTTAGATGGTAATTATGTATCATTCTCTAAGTCCATGGATAACCCAGTTTTTGCCCTTTCTAATTTTCAGGATCCAGCCATCATTGTTTTCAATAAACCCCCTGGTGTGCCTGTTCAGGTTAACTATCCGTCCTTCACACATTGATTTCCCTTTGAACTTCCAAGCTGTAGCTATTGAGTTTATTATTCTGGCTGATGGAACTTTGGACAGGGTGGTGTAGGCATAAAAAGAAGTTTAGATGAACTGGCTGCGGCTTATTTGAGATATGACAATCCAGAACCACCAAGGCTGGTGCGTTTTTTTTTTTTTGTTCGCTTTTACTTTTCCACTAACGAACCTGCACATGTTCATTAGTCTTTGCTCCCCCTTTTTAAATCACTCATTTTCTCATATAAGAATTTGCCCTCCATGAACATCCTAATTTTTCTTTCCATTTTTTGGTTTTTTTTTAAGAGGAGGAAGGGGGGGGGGGGGGGGGGGGGACGGAGGGAGTGGGGTTTACAAAACTTTGGGGCTTAAAGCAGAAGGTTAATGCGATAAGACATTGTCTTACTATTATTTGCATTGATTTCTGATGTCTAATCCATTTAATTGATCTAAGTACTATTGGTAATGTGTTTTAACTTTTAACACATCTCTACTGCAATATGGCTTTTATGTGATCATGTAGGTATCAATTGGATAAGTGATTGTAATAATTTCTCTGGAACATGGTTATGGTGGAACTGAACGAGTTCTCAAAATATCTCATGTTAACTTTGTATTTTGGCTTGTTTTAATTGTAAAATTACGTTTAAAAACTACATATAGAAGATACAAGCATGCTTCTTATGGTACTTCCCTTTGAATCACTTTGTCAAGTGAATGTACTTGCTATGCAGTGAAATTTTCTACTTGCATTGCACTAGAACTAGTGGATAACCAAGCTGGTTGGTGCATCTTATTACGAAGCTTATGTAAAGTCGGATAAGTATACGTGGATTATGGATATATGTATCCTGTGACTTACACAGAAATGACAATGGCTAATAGTCAATTTTCTCAATCACTGATGTTTTTAAGAGAGCAAATCTGAAGCAGGAAGGCTGTACGTGTCATTGAATTTTTGCCTTGGAAGACAAGTAAGGGGAAATATGTAGGGAAGTTAAAATTCCATTTGTCTACCATGCTCTCTTTGATTGGTTTGCTTGATTTGGCTTGATCACTGCTATTATTTTGGACTTCACATGTTCTGTACTATTATGTTGATGAGCTGCTTTCTTGGTTTCGAAAGACTCAGTGGTTCTCAGAAACAACTACTTTTGGAGTTCGAGAGAACTTTGGACAGCTTCCAGCAAGCCTGGTTTGCTAGAATTTTCACTAGACATCTTTCAGCCAGCGTGGTTTGCTACAACTTATAAAAACTTGGACCATCATTGGCGCCATACTGCTATAATAACAGGTGTCTCAATTTAGGATTTTTTAGGAACATGGGACTTGTGCACAATTCATATTCATTTATCACTCATGCACCCTGCTCTCATCATGTTTTGTTATTGTATCCTCCAACAAACGAGAATGAACAAATCTGGCAAATTGACTTCAAACATGAACTTATGTGAAGATAAGAAAAAGATCTCTAAGTCTATTCTCAGATTTCACAAACAAAGGTGTGTATGCAAAAATAAGCAAGTGTACCCAGGAACTGTGCTTGCTTCATGGTATGCAATCCTCATCGAGTTTTGTTGCTCGTTAAACGAGATATTTGCAAGCTTAAATTGGTGTTCAACTTTAGCTATTCTTTGTGTTGTAATAACCTGTGTGATGCAGATCTTGTTTCAGTTTCTGCTTTATTATTTGGGGATTTTTTTCCAGAAAATGATCCCATGTGTCTATTTCTTGCTTTGAATGAGCTTGGCTTTTTTTAGGTACACAGACTTGATAGAGATAGTAGTGGTATCCTGGTGATGGGGAGGACACAATTAAGTGCCACTGTTCTGCATTCCATCTTCCGTGAGAAAACTTTTGGAGCTTCAAATGATGTGTGTAAATTCCCACTCTTCTTACTAGAATTGCTGCTGCTGTTTTGATTATCTTTATTCTTTTGGAGTTATATCTCTCCACTTCAACCAGATTACCTTTTCTCCTTTTTAAGGATCATGAAAATAAAATAAGGATCTTGCAAAGGAGGTATTGGGCTCTTGTCATTGGATCTCCCAGACGTTCAGCAGGATTAATCTCAGTACCACTGGGGAAGGTTAGATAATATCTTCTTTACATGACCTTAGATAGGGGCATCCTGTTTCTATTGTCTGTCAGCTCCTATCTGGAAAACTCGTGTGGTTTCACTAGTCTACTCAGTCTTACCCATCATCCGCTGCTGCAAAAATACATTGGAGAAAATGGGCAACAAGAGCTGATGCTGCCAGGCTTTTCACTTTGGATTTCTGATTTAGCCGGACAGTGAATTTTGGGGCACATAGACAAGGCATTGTCTAACCTTTGCACCGAGGGGCAATGAATTCTAGTCGTCAACCACATGACACCTAGGATGTCGGGGCAACAAAGTGAATGTCACATTGGCAGTCGGCAGTGGTACAGATACAGTGTTAGGGACAGGATTCTCAGCTTTATTCAAGAAGCACACCATATTTAAAGTGTCTGAATTACTGCTGACAGGTCCATCTATGCGTATTAAACTATTTTCTCAAACAAATGAATGAAGGGCACGCATTGAAGTATGTTCAAACTATGCATGCATTCCCTTGTGTGTTCATAAAAAATAATGAATAAAGTTGGCGCTGACCGGTTCGTCTTATATAAATCTATTAATCTTGCTGTAATTTACAGTTAATGTAAAGGCACTTTATTTTTTTTCTCCTGTTTTGATGTTATGTCTTCAATTTTTTCCTGGGTTTGATTTGAACATACAATTTATAAGTTCAGAGTTTGGAAATTAAAATGTTATTTTTCCGGTGCTTTAATTTTTTATCATGTATTTACAACTTTTGTGAATGAGGTTTTTCATTTGCCTGAAAATAAATATGCTGGCTTCACTAGCATGTTGCAAATAGTTGCCATATATGATGGCAGTGGCTTAGGGTTTTATCTGGAATGCATGGCCATTCACCATGCTAAACCTATCATTAGATTAACACGTTTTTCTTTTTTATGGTGTACAATATAGATTAGGTTTTGATGATCTGACTAATCCTCTTCCACTTTAGCAGTGTGTCTACTTTTTACTCAGTTTAGAATCTTATTATACATTTGATACATTTTGTAGGTAGTGTTGGATAATGGAAAATCAGAAAGAATTACAGTTGTCGACAATAACCAAACAATGTCATCTCAGCATGCCATAACAGAATATCGGGTGATTGAACCTTCGTGGCATGGTATGCTCTGAACTGGGCTAAGATTCTCATTCCTTAAAGTTGTATATCAAGAGGAATAATACAAAAATGAGACTATTATCCTCCAGAACAACTTTGTTGTTAAGTCTTTTCAGCAACATACCTTCTTTCTTGTATGTAAATGCATCTGACAATGGTGGTTAAACTTGTAGGTTATACATGGTTAGAGCTATCACCTCTCACTGGTAGAAAGCACCAGGTATAGAAAAACAACATGCCGTGCTATTTTGATATCTGAATGTCTCTTAGCTTTCTACAATTACTGATTTGCTCCAATTGTCTCTTAATTTGGCCGGACAAAATAAAGCTCCGTGTGCACTGTGCTGAGGTATTGGGAACGCCAATTGTTGGAGACTACAAGTATGGGTGGCAATCTCATAGGAACTGGAAACATCTGCCATCCTCTAAGCTTGAAAGTAACATGAATGAGAAGCTTTCCAAGGGAAAGACACTTCCTTTTGGCCTTGATTTGGAAAGTGGAAGTATTTCTGAAAAGCATCCTCGCCTACATCTTCACTGCAGAGAAATGGTTTTGCCTAATGTATCAATGACTTTGCAACATACACAATTGTCTTCAGAATGTGATCTTACAAAAATTGAAAGCCTCAAGTTTGTTGCTCCTTTGCCTTCACACATGCAAAGAAGTTGGGACATTTTGCATTCTTGAGCTGTAATTGGGTTCTCTTGCAAGTTCTTTAGTTGTATTTCTTTCATGTCGTTGGTCAATCCATTTTGCAGCTTTGAAATTTGGTTCAGAAAAATTGTGTTTTCAAAACTGATATCTGCTTACGTGCACATAATGGTAGAGAGGAAGACTTGTGCGCATGCCCACATATCATTCAGAGAATAACTAGCTCTTAGTGCATGCCATTACATTCAAAAATGAGCAAAAACATCACAATCAACACATTCATTTATCGAGTTTCTTAGCAACAGGAAACAATTTCAGGACCTGATTTCACCAGGTACCAGTTTTCAGCCACAATAGTAGCTAGCCTGTACGGGAAACAATAGAAGTGGTGAACCTAGCATCGTGCCTTCCCTTTTACATGTGGTGAACCTGTCATTGATAAATTGTCATCTCATGTTGATTTGCAGTGTCTGGACTAAACTTCTCATATTGTCATATGTGCTCTATGTACATGTTAGCCAGTGAATCACAACAATCAACTGAAATACATGTTCATGAAGTATCTTGATGGGTTGAAGCCACTCAAAATTACTGCAAAGCAAAGATAATGAATTGATCTTTCCTGTCAACAAATGAAAGGGTAAAAAGACAATCAACAGAAGCAGTTAACACTTACATATAGGTGAAAGGATGATGACGATACCAATTGGATACAGGAAGAAAGTAGTTCTTTCTAAAAAGGGTAGTACTGCATCAAAAAAACACTGTTAGACTTTACAGGTGAAGACAAGTTTTACAACCTAGAAAAAGGAAAAGGAAAAGAATAAAACAAATCATAATCATCAAAGCATCAAAGCATCAAAAATTTCTCCTGTACTATGGCCACCCAATCAATACACCTGCCAATTAATTATGGTGACGTCCACATTAAATTCCATAATCAAATTGACATAGCCCGCGAGAATCCAGCTCTTCTGCATGCCAATTCCAACTTTAATACAATATAGTGCAAGCGATGAGTCTGACTTCATTACCACCTTTATACCACCGGAATTAATTACATAACACCATCTTCTTGGTGATCTCACAAAAAAAAAAAACCCCGAGCTTCGCAGGTTACCTCTGATTGACCCATAACAATTTGAGGTATATATGGCTCTGTTTAGACTTCCCCACCCACAGCATCTATTGGAAGAAAAAATCCAAAGAAATTACCAGCAAAAAAATCATCCGTATCTCATACACATTCAGCAGTTTCTTGCTGGTCAGCTGATGATGAGATTAACCAACCATGAAAGCAATCCACAGACAGTTAAAAAGAGTGCATGAGCAAGCAACCAAACAAAAATATGCCACCTACCAATAATTACTTATTCATTTTTATGTCTTGAGCAGTTCATTCAATTCAATGTCTCAACAGTAGTTTATATTTCTGGTGAACACTAAAAAAGACCAGAGAGGAATGCCATTGGGCCAAGGTTTCAGCTCTCCAGTGCTAGAGTATCAATCATAAACGAATATGCTAATCTATATGGTAGAGCATACTTAACAACCCAAGAGATGCAACAGGCAAGTTTTTCATCCCATTGATAACTGATATGAGGTGGGATTTCCACCCTGAAAATGTGACATGATTTTGTTACATACCCATACTTTTCAATCCAAATGGGGTTATATCGACATATAATGGGTTCACCATTTAGAGTCATGTGCCCAAGATGTTTGTAAACGCTCCTATCCAACTTTTTGAACCAAGTATGTTTCAATTCATTTTTGAAAAATAAAATAGGAGGAAGAAAAGTAACATACTACAAGCAGAGGTTATCTTACCATCATAACCTAAAAAGTTGAGGTAATGATAGTAGGAAGCAGCCATCATAAAGAGCAGATTTGATAGCAAAACAGGAAAGAACCCATGAGCAACCAAAAGAGGTGATAGAAAATAATGTATAACTGTCACAAAAACAAAGCCATCAGTGACAATCTAGAACATAAATTGAGGTTGAAATTTTAGAAGAGATGTCTTGTACAATCTTGCACTTACCATAAAGCACAGCAAACATTGGGAAGAAAGAGTTGCAGTGTACATCAAATGCGTAAAGCCTTCAATAGAAGTAAACCAGATTCAGCACAAAACAAAAAAGAATTTAAATACCTAGGTAATGCAGTGCCCTTTTTTGTTTACAAAACTATTAAAATGAAGAAAATTATAGGCTGCATTATTATATTTTACAATATTTAAAAGATAGAACATGTGAACAAAGAGATGCGAATAGAATTGACAACTAACATGACAAATAGAAAGAGAAAAACAATAAAAGTAAGAATGTTCAAAACATACAATTCTACCCTTTGCTCTACCACATGACTGTTTGGAGCTTCCTCTCGAAGATAAGTATTTGTCAAGAACCTGCAAGGAGATAGCAAATGAAATTTTCCTTTGTACCTGTTTTCCATCATGCATTTAACATGCAGCAGCAACTCATACAAATCAGGCACATTTAGCACAAAAAGGAAGTGAATACTAGGAGAAGTGACTTCCAAAACAATTGGGGTGCTACTTTAAAATCAGAATGTCCAGAAGTGAATATCAATACTATACAGTTTTACAAAAAGCGTTGAAGACAGTAAGAACTGGCAGTGGCAATATGAATACAGACAATTGTAATATCCCATTGTATTAATGCACTTTCGATCAGTGCAATATGGAAGCATTGGCAAACCTAAGATTGATAACAAAAAGGGGGAAAAAAAAAAGCAAAAATTGTATCTTCAGTGAAAGGACATGTATAATTCAAACATGGTAGTTGTAGCTCTTACCAACAACATGTAGCCAAAACTGCTCCAGCTATTAAAAAATGTAAAAGCAATACTGAGATAACTACAAAAACAGCATGCCCCACACTATGATCATACCTGAAATAAATGGAAGATAATAAAGTTCAATCATAATCAGAATTAGATACGAATAAATAAATGAAATGTAACTGATACTTCAGTATAAAAGTTAAACAATGCCAAACAAAAAAAAAAAAAAGAGCAATGCTATAGGGACCCAATGAGTTTCTTTAGAATCAATGTTATAGAAGTCAGCTGGGACTACGATTATATGTATAAAAAACTTACGCAGCACAATAAGCTAATGTAGATACTGCCAAAAGAAGAATACAGATTACAACAAAGGCAGGATCATCCCGTGCTCACTGGTTCTTAGTTTCTACAAAACCAAATAGATACGAAAACAACTTTAAGTCAAAAATTAGAAAGGAATTTGACTAGAGAAAGGTGATAACAAAAGCGACCCAACTGACCAAAAAACTATGCTTAGTTGCCAAGCAACTTGTATAGTTATTAGTATCGTACGATACATCACGATATATCTAAAAAACGATACGTATCGTGTCTCTGTATCGTTTTTGCACCGTATCGTACGATATACGATACAATACGCCCGATACGTGACAATTCTGTTTTTTTATTTTTTTTTTATTTTTTGGGATTGAAATAACATCGTTTTACCCTAAAACTTATTTTAAATCACTAGCTAGTGAAACAATGTCGTTTCAGTATTATAGTTTAAAAAAAATAAATAAAGTCTAACGTTAATGTTGTTCAATTGAATTCAAAATTTTTAATTAATATTAAAGTTGTTCAAACAGTTAATGTTAGAAGTTTAAATTAGAGGTCTTTATATTTTGATATTACTGAACTATGTTAGAAATTTGAATAGTTGGTGGAATATTAATGAAATATTATTCTATTATGAGTCTATGACTTTTTTATAAAAGCATATACATATATTTTATTAATAATTATTTAAAAATTAAAATTGCGCAAATCTTACAATACACGATACGATACGATACGATACATTATTTTTAAAAATTGATACATCTTCCGATACACGATTTGACAACTATGCTTGTAGAAACATAAAACAAAGAGAATAGAGTCAAGAAAAATGTTTTGATTCTCAGTTTTATTAAAAAAAACTAATTTCAAATGGGTTAAAAAATTATATCCTACCGTTTTTTCATAACATTGACAAAATTAGATAGGTTAGAAATGGGTGATAAATTAGCTTAGCTGGTAAAGTAACTTAATTTTTGTACCAATCCTAGAGAGCAGAGATCAAATCATGCCCTCATCCTGGTTGGGAGTGTGCACAACTATGGGTACCCACAATTTTGTATGCCATTTTCACCTTCGGACCACAAAATAGTATCTGTTAGCTCTAGCTTTAGTTTCAAGGAACTTTCAAATCAGTTTGAAAATTTTAGCAAACTAAATTCAATTACAATGGCAATATAGTGAGGTGCAGAGGAGAACATGAAAGAAGAAATTTTGTGGTTGAGACAGAGAAATTGAGATGACAAATACTATGGTTAATTACTTTACCATGTTGGCAAGGAGCAAGGCCAGACCTCCTAAACCCAGGCACATCCCTAAAACAACTCAAATATCACTCATTTTTGCTTATCTCACTTGAAAGCACGTATTTTATCACTAGAATATGCTTCACTACAAGCAATGACATGCACAATACAGATTTAAAGCATATGCGAAATTAAGAGATTAACAATGACATAACAAAATTATGTTATACTGCAGCTATGAATGAATAAAAGTGCAAATACTAAACTTTGAAATGAAACAATATATGTTATTGATAATTGATGACTACATATAGACCTGCACACATACCTATATATAAATCACCTTTACAAGATTTGAAATATGACGACACTAAAACATTGATGCAATATTTTTATTCTTAATATCAATTAACTTAGACAGAATGCAAAAACTATCACTGCATAAAGCTGATGCTTATGTGTGTTCTAATGTAATAAATTAGTGCCCAGAATGCATAGCGCAGTCAGTGTGACATATTTCAATTTGGCAACAACATGAACACAAGAACATGTATAAAAAGAGACTGACTTACATTTGTGGTATTTAGTGTGCTGATAGCTGCATCCATTGTACAGTTCCACATGCAAAATGCAGAAGCAATAGTATTAGGGAACTCAAAAAAAAAAAAAACTCAAAACACTCCGAGTAACAACTATGTGGAACCAAATTTGATTCAACTTGAAGGTGAGATAACCTAACATGA